GCTGGGTAATCTATCGTTGCTGGGGGTCTATTGTTTCTGGGGTAGGGGCAGACTGACAACTCATGGGGCCCCTGGGCAGTAGGGGATCATGGGGCCCCTGTGTCCTTGCCCAAACTTAAAACAGCCTATGAAAAAGGTACCAGGGGCATCTCATGGGGACCCCTACTGACCCCGGGCTCTCGGGTAGTGCCCGAGTTTCCAAATGGTCAGTGCGCCCCGTGTTCTGGGGGGTCTTTTATTGCTGTCTGCAGAGAATCTTGCTTGAAGGCGGGTAAGGGACGGAGACAAGGGGTGACTTGGAAGAAGGGAGTATCTGCATCCTCAGAGATAGAGTGAATGAGAAAAATCAAATTGTGTGTTAAAGTTGGGTGAATCTTGTTGGAAAATAGGTGAAGCCCTCAGTGACAAATAGAGTCAATGTGGAAAAATCTAATTTCAATAAAAAAATAATGAAGCTTAGATTAAAAATTAGGTGAATCTTGTTGGGAAATGGGTAAACCCCAGTGATAAATAGAGTGGATGTGGAAAATTGAATCTCGGTAAAAAGGCTAAATCTTGGGTTAAAATTGGGCAAAGCTTGGTTATATAAATGAAGTGAATGTGGAAAATCAAATCTTGGTCAAATCTTGGGTTAAAGTAGGGTGAATCTTGTTGGGAAATGGGTAAAAAACCCCAATGATAGAGTCAGCTTGGAAAATCAAATATTTCTCAGTTAAAAAAAAGGGTGAATCTTGGGTTAAAGGTGGGTGAATCTTGTTGGAAAATGGGTGAAAAATCCAATGATAGAGTGAATGTGGAAAACCAGATTTTTTTAAAAAAGGGCAAATCTTGGGTTAAAGGTGTGGTGAATCTTGTGGGGAAATGGCCTAAAGCCTCAGACTGATTGAGAAAAATCAAATTGTGGGTTTAAATTGGGTGAATCTTTTTGGGAAATGGGTGAAAACCCTTAATGATAAAGTGAATGTGGAAAATCAAATCTTTGGTTAAAGTTGGGTGAATCTTGTTGGGAAATGAGTGAAAACACCAGTGATGAATAGAGTGGATGTGGAAAATTGAATCTCAGTAAAAAGGGCAAATCTTGGGTTAAAGTTGGGCAAACCTAAGTTGTATCAAAGTGAATGTGGAAAATCAAATCTTGGTCAAGTCTTTTGTTAAAGTTGGGTGAATCTTGTTGGGAAATGGCCAAAAGCCTCAGACTTCGAGTGATTGAGAAAATTCAAATAGTGGGTTTAAGTTGGGTGAATCTTGTTGGGAAATGGGTTAAAACCCCAGTGATAGAGTCAGCTTGGAAAAATCTTTGGTTAAAATATCAGTGATAGAGTCAGCTTGGAAAATCAAATATCAGTTAAAAAAAGGGTGAATCTTGGGTTAAAGGTGTGGCAAATCTTGTGGGAAATGGCCAAAAGCTTCAGACTTTGAGCGATTGAGAAAAATCAAATTGTGGGTTTAAGTTGGGTGAATCTTGTTGGGAAATGGGTGAAACCCTTAATGATAGAGTGAATGTGGAAGATCAAATCTTTGGTTAAAGTTGGGTGAATCTTGTTGAGAAATGGGTGAAAACCCCAGTGATGAATAGAGTGGATGTTGAAAATTGAATCATGGTAAAAAGGGCAAATCTTGAGTTAAAGTTGGACAAACCTAAGTTATATCAAAGTGAATGTGGAAAGTCAAATCTTTTGTTAAAGTTGGGTGAATCTTGTTGGGAAAATGGGCAAAAACCCCAAGTGTGGAAAATCAAATCTCAATAAAGGTGAATCTTGGGTTAAAGTTGGCTGAATCTTGTTGGGAAATGGGTGAAAACCCTTAATGATAGAGTGAATGTGGAAAATCAAATCTTTGGTTAAAGTTGGGTGAATCTTGTTGGGAAATGGGTGAAAACCCCAGTGATGAATAGAGTGGATGTGGAAAATTGAATCACGGTAAAAAGGGCAAATCTTGGGTTAAAGTTGGGCAAACCTAAGTTGTATCAAAGTGAATGTGGAAATTCAAATCTTTGTCAAATCTTTTGTTAAAGTAGGGTGAATCTTGTTGGGAAATGGGTAAAAACCCTAATGATAGAGTCAGCTTGGAAAATCAAATCTCATTTTTTTTTTAAAAAAAAAAAGGTGAATCTTGGGTTAAAGGTGTGGTGAATCTTGGGGAAATGGCCAAAAGCCTCAGACTTTGAGTGATTGAGAAAAATCAAATTGTGGGTTTAAGTTGGGTGAATCTTGTTGGGAAATGGATAAAAACCCCAGTGATCAATAGAGTGGATGTGGAAAATTGAATCTCGGTAAAAAGGGCAAATCTTGGTTAAAGTTGGGCAAACCTAAGTTATATCAAAGTGAATGTGGCATGTCAAATCTTTTGTTAGAGTTGTGTGAATCTTGTTGGGCAATGAGTGAAAACCCCATTGATAAATAGAGTGGATGTGGAAAATTGAATCTCGGTAAAAAGGGAAAATCTTGGGTTAAAACTGGGCAAAGCTTGATTATATAAATAAAGTGAATCTGGAAATTCAAAACTTGGTCAAATCTTGTGTTAAAGTAGAGTGAATCTTTTTGGGAAATGGGTAAAAACCCCAATGATAGAGTCAGCTTGGAAAATCAAATCTAATTTTTTAAAAAAAAAAGGGTGAATCTTGGGTTAAAGGTGTGGTGAATCTTGTGAGGAAATGGCCAAAAGCCTCAGACTTTGAGTGATTGAGAAAAATCAAATTGTGGGTTTACGTTGGGTGAATCTTGTGTGGAATTGGGTGAAAACCCCAGTGATAAATAGAGTGGATGTGGAAAATTGAATCTCGGTAAAAAGGGTAAATCTTGGGTTAAAACTGGGCAAAGCTTGATTATATAAATAAAGTGAATCTGGAAAATCAAAGCGTGGTCAAATCTTGGGTTAAAGTAGGGTGAATCTTGTTGGGAAATGGGTAAAACCCCAATGATAGAGTCAGCTTGGAAAATCAAATCTCATTTTTTTTTAAAAAAAAAAAAAGGTGAATCGTGAGTTAAAGGTGTGGTGAATCTTGTGGGAAATGGCCAATAGCCTCAGACTTTGAGTGATTGAGAAAAATCAAACTGTGGGTTTAAGTTGGGTGAATCTTATTGGGAAATAGTGTGAAAACCCCAGTGATAAATAGAGTGGATGTGGAAAATTGAATCTCACTAAAAAGGGTAAATCTTGGGTTAAAACTGGGCAAAGCTTGGTTATATAAATAAAGTGAATCTGGAAATTCAAAGCTTGGTCAAATCTTGTGTTAAAGTAGGGTGAATCTTGTTGGGAAATGGGTAAAAACCCCAGTGATAGAGTCAGCTTGGAAAATCAAATCTCATTTTTTTTAAAAAAGGGTGAATCTTGGGTTAAAGGTGTGGTGAATCTTGTGAGGAAATGGCCAAAAGCCTCAGACTTTGAGTGATTGAGAAAAATCAAATTGTGGGTTTAGGTTGGGTGAATCTTGTTGGGAAATGGGTGAAAACCCCAGTGATGAATAGAGTGGATGTGAAAAATGGAATCTCTGTAAAAAGGGGCAAATCTTTGGTAAAGTTGGGCAAACCTAAGTTATATCAAAGTGAATGTGGCATGTCAAATCTTTTGTTAGAGTTGGGTGAATCTTGTTGGGAAATGGGTAAAAACCCCAGTGATAAATAGAGTGGATGTGGAAAATTGAATCATGGTAAAATGGCCAAATCTTGGGTTAAAGTTGGGCAAACCTAAGTTATATCAAAGTGAATGTGGAAATTCAAATCTTGGTCAACTCTTTTGTTAATGTTGGGTGAATCTTGTGAGGAAGTGGCCAAAAGCCTCAGACATAGAGTGATTGAGAAAAATCTAATTGTGGGTTTAAGTTGGGTGAATCTTGTTGGGAAATGGGTGAAAACCCCAGTGATGAATAGAGTGGATGTGAAAAATGGAATCTCAGTAAAAAGGGCAAATCTTGGGTTAAAGTTGGGCAAACCTAAGTTGTATCAAAGTGAATGTGAAAAATCAAATCTTGGTCAAATCTTTTGTTAAAGTTGGGTGAATCTTGTTGGGAAATGGGCAAAAACCATAAGCGTGGAAAATCAAATCTCAATAAAGGTGAATCTTGGGTTAAAGTTGGGTGAATCTTGGTTGAAGTAACAAAGCTAAATAGACACGTTGAAGCGTACTGGTTATTGTAGTGTTTGGGTTTACATCTACTAATTACTTCTATTACTTCATTAGTGACCCCGTCAATCACCATTTATGTGCGTCTCGTGGCGGGTAAGTAGCTGCAGAAAATTGCCGCGACCCCATTATCGCGTCTACAAATGGTTACCATAGCGATTCCCCCCCCCCTTTAATTTCACCGGCTGTCTTTGCTTCCATTATTGAAGACTTGTTTGACTTTGGTAGTTAATGGCTCCCTGTGTGCCGCAATTTTTTTTTTTATGTCCGCCGTTTATTTGGTCCGGCTATTACTCTCCTTCAATTAAAAATCTGCTCGTTTGCACATGTTTGCGGACCTGTAATGACATGAGACGACTGCGGCTGTATATTAAACGGCGACATTATCGCTTACCTTTCTGCTCGCTCCGCGTTTTTTTATATGCAGGCTCCCGGAATGTTTATTTTTATCCGGCAAAAAAAGCAAATTACACTGCCCTTATCTGCAGCCGGCACAATTTACTCGACTTTCCCCTTTACAGAACTCGCAAATCGTGTGCGCTGAATAGATGAACCGGCTCCGCTTATCAGCCCCTCTCTCTGCGCAGAAAGATGGATTTTAAAGGAGAGAGACGGCGGCGAATGAAAGCGAGATCCGAGTCTCTGGGGAATAAGTAATAGAACTGTTCTATCGTATTCAGAGACCTCCTCTTATGAGCTTACATTTCTGGCCCCATCAAAAGTAATATGGTGGCAAAGGAGCGCGCCGTTTTATAAAGCTACAACCGGGATAGACATCGCTTTGTGTGTTCATTATATATGTGTAGCATTGCATTATAACAAGGTTAAATCTGACCTCCGGCCTCCCCTTCAGTCCTGCACAGGTGTACCGGCTCCTCCCCTTCAGTCCTACCAGGTGTACCGGCTCCTCCCCTTCAGTCCTGCACAGGTGTACCGGCTCCTCCCCTTCAGTACTGCACAGGTGTACCGGCTCCTCCCCTTCAGTCTTGCACAGGTGTACCGGCTCCTCCCCTTCAGTCTTGCACAGGTGTACCGGATCCTCCCCTTCAGTTTTGCACAGGCGTACCGGCTCCTCCCCTTCAGTCTTGCACAGGTGTACTGGCTCCTCCCCTACAGTCTTGCACAGGTGTACCGGCTCCTCCCCTTCAGTCTCCCCTTCAGTCTTGCACAGGTGTACCTACTCCTCCCCTTCAGTCCTGCACAGGTGTACCGGCTCCTCCCCTACAGTCTTGCACAGGTGGTGCTCCTTCAGTCTTGCACAGGTGTACCAGCTCCTCCCCTTCAGTCTTTCTGGCTCCTCCCTTTCAGGCTTGCACAGTTTTACTGACTCCTCCCATTCAGTCTTGCACAGTTGTAGTGGCTCCTCCTCTTCAGTCTTGCACAGTTGTACCAACTCCTCCCCTTCAGTCTTGCACAGGTGTACTGGCTCCTCCCCTTCAGTCTTGCACAGGTGTACCGGCTCCTCCCCTTCAGGCTTGAACAGTTTTACTGACTCCTCCCCTTCAGTCTTGCACAGTTGTAACGGCTCCTCCTCTTCAGTCTTGCACAGTTGTGCCGGCTCCTCCCCTTCAGTTTTGCACAGGTGTACCGGCTTCTCCCCTTCAGTCTTGCACAGGTGTACCAACTCCTCCCCCTCAGTCTTACATAGGTGTACTGGCTCCTCCCCTTCAGGCTTGCACAGGTGTACCGGCTCCTCCCCTTCAGGCTTGAACAGTTTTACTGACTCCTCCCCTTCAGTCTTGCACAGTTGTAACGGCTCCTCCTCTTCAGTCTTGCACAGTTGTGCCGGCTCCTCCCCTTCAGTTTTGCACAGGTGTACCGGCTTCTCCCCTTCAGTCTTGCACAGGTGTACCAACTCCTCCCCCTCAGTCTTACACAGGTGTACTGGCTCCTCCCCTTCAGGCTTGCACAGGTGTACTGGCTCCTCCCCTTCAGTCTTGCACAGGTGTACCGGCTCCTCCCCTTCTGTCTTGCATAGGTGTACCAGCTCCTCCCCTTCAGTCTTGCACAGGTGTACTGGCTCCTCCCCTTCAGTCTTGCACAGGTGTACCAGCTCCTCCCCTTCAGTCTTGCACAGTTTTACTGACTCCTCCCCTTCAGTCTTGCACAGGTGTACTGGCTCCTCCTCTTCTGTCTTGCACAGGTGTACTGGCTCCTCCCCTTCAGTCTTGCACAGGTGTACCAGCTCCTCCCCTTCAGTCTTGCACAGTTTTACTGACTCCTCCCCTTCAGTCTAGCACAGTTGTACTGGCTCCTCCTCTTCTGTCTTGCATAGGTTTACCAGCGCCTCCCCTTCAGTCTTGCACAGGTGTACTGGCTCCTCCCCTTCAGTCTTGCACAGGTGTACCGGCTTCTCCCCTTCAGGCTTGAACAGTTTTACTGACTCCTCCCCTTCAGTCTTGCACAGTTGTACTTGCTCCTCCTCTTCAGTCTTGCACAGTTGTACTGGCTCCTCCCCTTCAGTCTTGCACAGTTGTACCAACTCCTCCCCTTCAGTCTTACACAGGTGTACCAGCTCCTCCCCTTCAGTCTTGCACAGGTGTACTGGCTCCTCCCCTTCAGTCTTGCACAGGTGTACCAGCTCCTCCCCTTCAGTCTTGCACAGTTTTACTGACTCCTCCCCTTCTGTCTTGCACAGTTTGTACTGGCTCCTCCCTCTTCTGTCTTGCACAGGTGTACTGGCTCCTCCCCTTCAGTCTTGCACAGGTGTACCAGCTCCTCCCCTTCAGTCTTGCACAGTTTTACTGACTCCTCCCCTTCAGTCTTGCACAGTTGTACTGGCTCCTCCTCTTCTGGCATAGGCGTACCTGCGCCTCCCCTTCAGTCTTGCACAGGTGTACTGGCTCCTCCCCTTCAGTCTTGCACAGGTGTACCGACTCCATCCCTTTAGTCTTGCACAGTTTTACTGGCTCCTCCCCTTCAGTCTTGCACAGTTGTACCAACTCCTCCCCTTCAGTTTTGCACAGGTGTCCCGGCTCCTCTCCTGGACTGAAAAGTCTTCCTCTGATGTCACTGCACACTGGGAGCTTCTCACAATGTGCATTAGAAGCTGCCGCAAGTCAGAGAGAGCTCCGCCTCATTTCCTGGCTAGAGGACGTCCAGCATCATCTAGTACTTTCCACCCCAGCCTCACTATCCCTGGCCCGCCCCTTGGACTTCATTTTTTCCAATCATGGAGGCTCAGCATCACATGTGGGTGTTACCAAGACCTGCCTAGGAATGCCCACTCCTCCAGACTGACACCCAACCATTAAAGGATTTTGTTATTTGCATAACTCCTCCCGAGAGCCAGCCCACTGAGAGGAGTAGTGAGGCAGGGCTCTGGGATGTTTTCCGGAAGCTATGTACAGCACCCTAATGCAGTAACAAGAAAAAGAGAGGAAGGCGCCTCTAAGTGCAGTATTGACAATTTATTTAGTAAACAATGGATAAATTGCACTTACAAGATAAATAGTTAAAAAGACTCATCGTGTGGTAATTAGATCCAGGTGGGACATCCAGCAGCAAACTGTCTATAGGATCAGGAAGTAGAGTCCAGGATGTGTCTGTGCATCAAAAATGAAGATAGGAGGTCTGAAGAAGGAGCCTATTGAGCATTCTCCGAAATGCATTACCGCCCCCTTCACCTCCTACATCCGACTCTGCTCTCCTAGCTTCATTTTTGATGCACAGACACATCCCGGACTCTACTTCCTGATCCTATAGACAGTTTGCTGCTGGATGGATGTCCCACCTGGATCTAATTACCACACGATGAGTCTTTTTTAACTATTTATCTTGGAAGTGAAATTTATCCATTGTTTACTAAATAAATTGTCCATACTGCACTTAGAGGCGCCCTCCTCTCTTTTTCTTGTTACTACATTAGAGCCTTGCTTCCACTCTAAGAAGAGCTGCCTCAGTGTTACTGCTCCCATCCATCCATCCCTGATATCCATCCATCCCTGATATCCATCTGGCACCTTTATCTTACAGCTACAGAGGTTTGGCTCCAACAAGCTCGCCCTATATAATATACATTTTATGTACAGCACCCTGCCAGCCCCTCCCACCTGCCTGCATTGCATAGAGAAGCACAGAGACACAGTGATGACAGATTCATTATCATATTGATGGGGGGGGGGGACAAGGAAAAGCAAAATATAGGCTGATTACTTTTCGGACCTTCAGTCTGCTTTATAACTTGCATCTATTGTAATGGTCTCCCCCTTCTTTAACAGCAATGGAATAAAAAATGTATTTTATCTAGGCAAATGGCGTAGAGTCTTCCAGTCCCGCTGATTCCTGGGATACTTTCTTACTAGAGTCTTTAGGTGTTTTTTTTTTCCCCCCAGAGCTGGAGGAGGGTGGGGGGAGCAAGAGGAGTATGGGGTACAGGGAGGGTGATGAGTGCGACAGGGCTAAAATGACTGGAATCGATCCCCTGTATGGTTCTCTCTGCAGCAGAGGGAGGGGAGAAGAAGCCGGCTTTCAGCTGCTGCAGGGAGGGTAGAAGAAGCCAGCTTTCAGCTGCTGCAGGGAGAGTAGAAGAAGCCAGCTTTCAGCTGCTGCAGGGAGAGTAGAAGAAGCCGGCTTTCAGCTGCTGCAGGGAGAGTAGAAGAAGCCGGCTTTCAGCTGCTGCAGGGAGAGTAGAAGAAGCCGGCTTTCAGCTGCTGCAGGGAGAGTAGAAGAAGCTGGCTTTCAGCTGCTGCAGGGAGAGGAGTAGAAGCCGGCTTTCAGCTGCTGCAGGGAGAAGAGAAGAAGCCGGCTTTCAGCTGTTGCAGGGAGAGGAGACGAATCTGGCTTTCAGCTGCTGCAGGGAGAGTAGAAGAAGCTGGCTTTCAGCTGCTGCAGGGAGAGGAGAAGATCCGGCTTTCAGCTGCAGGGACAGGAGAAGCCGGCTTTCAGCTGCTGCAGGGAGAGGAGAAGAATCTGGCTTTCAGCTGCTGCAGGGAGAGTAGAAGAATCTGGCTTTCAGCTGCTGCAGGGAAAAGAGAAGAAGACGGCTTTCAGCTGCTGCAGGGAGAGGAGAAGAAGCCGGCTTTCAGCTGCTGCAGGGAGAGGAGAGAAGAAGCCGGATTTCAGCTGCTGCAGGGAGAGCCATACAGGGGATCGGTTCCAGTAATTGCCCCCCGCTGCCGTGCTGATCCCCCTCCCTGCTCACATTCGATTCACCTAGCCGCTTGGGGCCCCCCTGCTGTCCTGGGCCCCATACAGGATGACTGGTGGTTCCCCCTTATCCACGGCCCTGAGCGTCACGCATTCCTTGACATGATCCCTACTGTTTATAGTGTGTTTTATTGCCCGGTATCCTTCCACAAACCATCCTCTGATATTGTCCGCTCTCATTTATTGTCCATTACTCAGGCCTTGCTGAAACGTGTCGGCTGACTTGCCGGAAACATTCGTTCTGTTATAATGCGGAGATCGCTCTCGCTCTCCGGCGTCTGCGTGTCGTCTCAATCTGTCTCCTGTCCCCGCCATTATCTCCGCTCTTCTCTGCTTGCTGAGATTTCTATCTCTTCCCCACTTCACTTTACGACAAGATTAACATGGAGCTCGGAGACGGTTTGTTACGGCCAATACAGACGAGTTTAATTTACTGAAGAGACAGGGTGTCATGCCTTACTACAAGCTCCACACAGAACTCCGAGCAGGATATATATCTATATACACACACACCGATCGGCCATATCATTATGACCAGGGGTGTATTTACCACAAGGCAAACGAGGCATTTGCCTAGGGTGGCATTTTTCAGGGGGGCAGCAGCATTTTTCAGGGGGTCAGCGCCGTCCCCCGAAAGAAGGAAAGGAAGAAGGGACACACACAGCACGGGGACCACGTGGGATCTGAGAGAGGCTGTGGGGCTGTTTGATGGTGTATGCAGAGCCTGACTCTTGTTCCCGTGGATGTCCGGAGCTGTGAAGGGGAGTGTCTTACCTCTTGGCGGTGGTAGTGGATGGCTCTGGGGTACTGTTGGTCAATGTCAGGCTCTCTTTGTGGGGAGGGGGGTGTTGGTCGGTGACAGGGTCTCTGTGGGGGGGGGGGGGGGGGGGGCAATTTTTGTGTTGCCTAGGGCAGCACGGAACCTAAATACACCACTGATTATGACCACCCATCTAATATTGAGTAGGCCCTCCTTTTGCTGCCCTGACCCATCCAGGCATGGACTCCACTAGACCTCTGAAGGTACGCTGTGGTATCTGGCACCAAGCCGTTATTAGCGGATCTGTTAAGTCCTGTAAGTTGGGAGGTTGGGCCTCCATACACATCCCACAGATGCTCGATTGGGTTAAGATCTGGAGAATTTGAAGGCCAAGTCATCGCCTCACACTCGTTGTGTTCCTCATACCATTCTTGAACCATTTTTACCCTGTGGAAAGGAGCATTATCCTCCTAGAAGAGGCCATTGCCATCAGGAAATGTTGTTTACATGGGGGGGGGGGTGGGG